TTTTCTTCATATTATATATTATTATATTTTTTATTTTATTATTTATATCAATAAATATTATTACTGTTGTTGTTTATAATAATAATGACGATGATGGCGATGATATTAATAATACACATAATAATAATAATAATAATAATAGCATGTAAGAAGGCTGAGTGAAGTCCTCTGGATGGGTTCTGTTTCGTTGTTCATCTTTTACTCCAGATGTGCAGAGCGGCTTGGGACGTGATCCACGCCGGTGATCTGCATCAGTTTTAAAGCAGCGCCTCGTGGATGAATCAGTTTGCTGCGCACATCCAGAACTAGTTGTTCACGTAGAAAAGAAGAGACATCAGCCCAACAACGGATCAGTAGTGCCCTGCTTGCTGTTACACAGGGCTGAGTGATATACAGCACTAACATCAAAGTTCATGTTCAGTAATCCAGGTAAAAATCCAACAATCCAGGTAAAAATCCATCAGGTCCTCTGGACAGTTTCTTTTTGTTGAAACGTTTCGTCTTCGACGTCATTTCGTCAAAACCTGGTTGATGAACATATGATGTGAAGGTGCTATTTATAAGACTGGGCTTGTTGTGGCTCCTTGGACTGATGAAGTCCTTTGGATGAAAAATGAAACATTTCATCAAAATGAAACCGTGCAGAGGACGGACTGAACTTTGCTGAGAGGGCACTAACAATCAATTGTTAGGCTGATCCTTGATCATGTGACCGGCCGGTTCTGGCTGTCAGCAGCAGACTGGCTGATCCACGAAGACAGCGGCTTCTTTACAAGACTCCAAAGTTCGTGCTCAATAATCCAGGTAAAAATCCAACAATGAAAAGGAAGTGGCGTTTTGTGGCTCATGGTGGGGGGTCCTGACCAAACATGGGTTTTATTTGACCTGTTAAAGGATCGATCAGTTTATTGTAATCAAAAAGCATTTGTTGCAGTTTCCACTTATCATCAGTTAGCTGATAACACACGGGGCAAATTAAGGATTACTCTATTCTGTGTTAAGCTGAAGGAGGTGAATCTGTTCAAGAACAGCACAAAAATACAAACTACAAAAGTTGTTTTTGTTTTTGTGCTGTAACATCAACTGAAGGTCACCATCTGATTTAGAACATGTGGACAGATGTTACATGTGATGAACAACTATAAGTGTTCTCATTTATTGTGACAAATATGTTCAATATATGAATCTTTTCCAGCAGGTTTCATGTTTGATCAACTTATATTTTCTTAAATTGTTCATTCAGATGTGCACAAATATTTAAACAAGTGTTTGTGTAGTGGAAACTGAAACTGCTGATGTTTGAATATTTCTTGGATTCAGGCCCAGTTCAGAGCACAGCCTGGTTCTGAGTGACAGCTCCCTGAACTGTCGGGATGAAGACAACGTTTGGACATTTGTTTTTACAATCCCTTACACACTCTGAACCCCCCCCCCCCCCCCCCCCCCCCCCCATTTAGCAAAACTTTCCACTCGAGGAACAAAACACATGATTTGTGCAACTAAAAGCAAAATGTCCGTCTTCAAACAGTTTTGTCATGATGTCACTTCCACATCCAGCTGATGTGTAAACAGGTAAGACCTTTATTAAAACACACCAATCAGTTGTACGTGCTGTAAGTTCAAGTTCAAGTATCTTTACTGTCATTTGTATCACATGTGGGACATGAGGTGGAATGAAATTGTGTACTCAAGGTCCAAGTCACACCCAAAAAATATCAAAAACATAAAGTATGAACAGCAACAGTATACAAGGATCTAAGATATAAACTAAACACTAATAATGTAAAACAATGCATCGTAATAACAGCAGCCCGAACATGAGTCTGTGCGAGAAGATGGGTATGAATGAATAGAGCAGCATGACATGATCAGCAGCATGAGATGATCAGCAGCATGAGATGATCAGCAGCATGAGCTCAACAACCAAGTTGCATTACAGTAATTTTTCTCACAGTGATTGTTCTGGTTAGAGATTCATGAGTCTAACAGCCTCAGGGTAGAAGCTGTTCCTCAGTCTAGTGGTTCTACACTTAATGCTCCTCAACCTCCTTCCTGAGGGGAGTGGGGCAAAAAGTGTGTGTGCTGGGTGAGTGTGGTCCTTCATGATGCAGGTGGCCCTCTTCCTGCATCTGGAGGTGTAGATGTCTGTGATGGTGGGGAGACTGACTCCAACATCTTCTGTGCAGCCTTCACCACTCTCTGCAAAGCTTTTCTTTCTGCAGCTGTGCAGCCTCCATGCCACACGTTGATGCTGGAGCACAGGATGCTCTCCACTGCACACCTGTAGAAGGAGGTGAGGACTGAGCTTCCCAGACCAGCTCGCCTCAGCCGTCTGAGGAAGTAGAGTCTCTGATGATCTTTCTTCATCAGGCTGGTGGTGTTGTTGCTCCAGCTGAGGTTGTTGTTCAGGTGCACACCCAAGTTCTTGTAGCTGGAGACCATTTCCACCACAGATGCTCTTATGATAATGAAGCAGGATCAGTGCAGGCTCTTCCCATGATGCCTTGCAAATGAAAGCATATCTTGTGATGTTTTTAAATATTATCCAACAAGGAACATATATTATAAATATATAGTTCAACAAAAGAAGAAAAGTTTCAACAAGTGATGTGCTGTTCATTAGAAATAACAATAAAACCAAACTGCAGTCTGTTTCTAACTTCACCAGCACTCTTGCTGTGAATTTGAGTCAATATAAAACAAAATAAAACGGATTAAATTTGAATAACTGCTGATAAAATCTGAACACTGTCCACCAGGGGCTGAGGGGGAAACGGAGAAAAGATGCAATCTGTATCTTTCAAGAACCCAATTACCTACATGCAAATCAGATTTTCTTAGGAAAGCGTGTGAATCGTTATTTGGAGGTAAAGTGTGTTATCTATAGACAATGATGAGGAGCAGCTGAACGTGGCGAGTACGTCCTGATTTGAATGTTTGCAGTTTTCCTGTGAAATCTTCCTTCGAGAGCAGCTGAACGCAATATAATAATAAATGCAAATGTCTGATGTTCATCTCGTCGGGAAGGTTTAAATAATAACCCAGAATATCTCCTGTGCTCTAGAGTTACAGCACAGCTTCTTATTGCTTTGACAGGTAAGACCCCCCCCCCCCATACAGACATCATAAACCTGCTGGTGTGGACTCCTGAGTCAAACCTTCAGACCAACTTTCTAACGGCTGTGATTTAGATAAAGTCAGTAAACAGACTCATGCGGCCTTGAAGACTTAAAAGAAAAGGCCAAAGAGCCAATATTTGTCCTCATTGATCGGAGCAGCTTCTCCTGGCGTCAGATTCTGCTCCAAAAACCCACTGATAACTTCTCACAGAGCTGGCAGCTGGCGCCGGGGCTCTACACCTTTAAATACACTGCAGGGTGGCAGACTGGAGAGGCAGCGGGCGATAATGTAGTCGCCTTGCTAGCAAAACATATCATTGGCCAGTGGAAAGTTGGAGAGCGTCATTACTGGATGTACATTAATCCATTAATGTTTGGAGTCAACCTGATTCAAGATGGCTGCCACAACCAACTGACCTCAACAACACAAAAATGGCTACAAGTCCGTCAGTTTTACTCATTAGCAGAGAATCTATCGCAGCACAAAGGTCAACTCCAAGTGCTACTTATTGACTGAAATATTTGCTTAAAACTTTTTACAATCCTGTCTGTTAGCAAAATATCTAATGAACCACTGGACAATTTTTAAACAAATCCTACAACTGATTAACTGTGGAGTCAAACCGGTTTAAGATGGCCGCCACAGCTAATTGACTTGAACCAACACAAAATTATTACCACTCAGTTGGTTTGACAGATATTGAGCTAAATGCTGAAGCTGATTCCTGCAACAAACACTCTGAGGGGGAACCGGACTCTCCCATGACTTTGATGCTTTGACCAGAATGGCTTCATGGGCGGCACGGTGGGTCAGATGGTAGAGCTGTTGCCTCTCAGTGAGAAGGTCGTCGGATCCAATCACAGCCAAAGGTCTTTCTGGGTGGAGTTTGCACGTTCAGAATCAGAATAAACTTTATTGGCATTGCACCGAGATACAACAAGAACATGTTCTCTCTGTGCATGCATGGGTTTTCTCCAGAGTTTCCTCCCACAGAACAAAAACATGCATGTTAGACTGATTGGTAACTCTAAATTGTTTCTAGGTGTGAGTGAGAGTGAATGGTTGTTTGTCTCTATGTGTCCCTGTGATGGACTGAGACCCGTCCAGGGTGTCCCCTGCCTCTCACATAGTGACTGCTGGAAATGGGTACCAGTGACCCCGCGACCCAAAAAGGAAGTGGGTAAAGATGATGGATGGATATGAGTTGAAAACTCTGGCATGAAAGGCGTCAGGTGATGTGCATTCCTTCAAAGCTAGGATTTTAATTTGCCTTGAACTGTGGACTGCTGCACTGACAGAGCAGCATCATGGTGGAGATCTGCAGAAAGAACCACATGGATTTGGAAGACATGGCTTCTTTTTTAATGTCTCATAATATTACAACTTTATTCTCACAAGATTACAACTTTATTCTCACAAGATTACAACTTTATTCTCACAAGATTACAACTTTATTCTCACAAGATTACAACTTTATTCTCATAAATTTATGACCTCTTTCTCCCAGTGTACAGTAAATTTATTTTGCTTATCTTTGAAAAGCACGAGGCTCATATTCTTCCTGATTTTATTTATAGAAACGCAAATGTTTATTTTTTAGCCCTTTGAACACAAAAATTGATAACATTTTAAAACCTGAAGGATTAAAAGTCATAAACACCCATTCACACCAACGGAGGAAAGACGGGATCTGAACTGGACCTGCTGGTCAGTCAAACTCTGCTGACATCTTGTGGACAAAATACTTTCAAAAGGTCAGCAGATGTAAGAACATGATTTAGGCATAATATACAGAATAAAAGCAAACAAATAATAAATCCAGATTATAGTTTCTAATGTTCACATTAGGAGGCATGTCATGTGGTCTGATGAAACTAAAGTTTGGTTATAATGATCGGTGTTACATTAGGGTGAAGAAAGGGGAAAACTTGCAAGTCTGAGAACACCATCCCATCTGTGAAGCACGGGGGTGGCAGCATCATGTTATGGGGGTGCGCTGCTGCAGGAGGCAAACCTAAACTAGATGACATCATGAGGAAAGAACATCCGTCCATTCTCTTTACTCGCTTCTTCCATTTCAGGTCACTGGTACCCATGTCCAGCAGTCACTGCGAGAGGCAGGGGACACCATGGACAGGTCTCCAGTCCATCACAGGGACACATGGACAGGTCTCCAGTCCATCACAGGGACACCATGGACAGGTCTCCAGTCCATCACAGGGGCACCCTGGACAGGTCTCCAGTCCATCACAAGGACACCCTGGACAGGTCTCCAGTCCATCACAGGGACACCTGGACAGGTCTCCAGTCCATCACAGGGACACCATGGACAGGTCTGCAGTCCATCACAGGGACACATAGAGACAAACGAGACAAACAACCATTCACTCTCTCTCTCTCTCACCTAGGGACAATTTAGAGTTACCAATCAGTCTAACTCAAAAAACGTTCAATACAAAAACAACTGGACTTTATTTGTAACAGAAGACGTTTCTCTCCTCATCCGAGGAGCTTTCTCAATTCAAAGAGCAGAGAGTGAGAGATTCAGGTTATAAGGCTGAGTGAGATAAGACACACACACATATGTAGATTGGCAATTCACACCTAAACAACATTAACAGTAAGAGTCTTTTGTTCCTCTAATTCACAGTCGAGGCCCCTTTGTTTCCATCAGGTGTGAAAACCAGCTGGGAATCTGTTTTAAAGTTGCACTATATGTTTTTGAAAGTGGGAATCTGAGGCCTCCTCCTCTGTTAAGAGACGGCTTTTCTCTTTTTACATAAATTGCTTCCTTCACCCCCCTCTCAAACCATCTGTGTTCTCGGTCCAAAATGTGCACATTTTGGTCCTCAAAAGAGTGTCCCTTATCTGTGAGGTGGAGGTGAACAGCTGAATCTTGTCCTGAGGAGGTGGCTCTCCTGTGTTGAGCCATGCGTCTGTGAAAAGGTCTGGACAGTCCTCGCTGCACTGGACGAGGTCTGGACAGTCCTCGCTGCACTGGACGAGGTCTGGACAGTCCTCGCTGCACTGGACCACATACACTACACCACTCTGTTTGTGTATGGGTGTTCTGTCCTTAGGGTGGACCAGCCTCTGTCTGAGAGTCCTGCTGGGTTTGAAATGTACTGGGATCTTGTGTTTGTTGAAAATCCTTCTGAATTTCTCTGATACTCCAGCAACATAAGGGATGACAATGTTTTTACGTCTGTTGTTCTCCTTTTTCTGTTTATTAGTGTGTTTTGTAGATTTCCTCACTGACTTGACAAAAGCCCAGTTAGGATATCCACATGTTTGAAGAGCTTCTTGAACGTGTTTCTGTTCCTTTTCCTTCCCTTCTGTCTTCGTGGGGACGCGTTCGGCCCGATGTTGTAAAGTTCTGATGACGGAGAGTTTGTGTTCCAGTGGATGGTGGGAGTCAAACAGAAGATACTGGTCTGTGTGGGTTGGTTTTCTGTAAACTTCAATGTTGAGGCTGTCCTCAGATGGAGAGAGAGGACACAATTTCACACCTGACGGAAACAGAGGGGCCTCGACTGTGAATTAGAGGAACAAAAGACTCTTACTGTTAATGTTGTTTAGGTGTGAATTGCCAATCTACATATGTGTGTGTGTGTGTGTGTGTGTGTGTGTCTTATCTCACTCAGCCTTATAACCTGAATCTCTCACTCACTGCTCTTTGAATTGAGAAAGCTCCTCGGATGAGGAGAGAAACGTCTTCTGTTACAAATAAAGTCCAGTTGTTTTTGTATTGAACGCTTTTTGAATTCATCATGTTCTGGATGACTGAGAATCTTCACCAGCACAATCAGTCTAACATGCATGTTTTTGGTCTGTGGGAGGAAACTGGAGCACCCGGAGAAAATCCATGCCTGCACACAGAGAACATACAAACTCCACCCAGAAAGGCCCCCGGACCGAGATTTGAACCGGGGACCTGCTCGCTGAGAGGCAGCAGCTCTACCTGTTGTGCCTGAGGAAAGAACACTGTGTGGAAATATTAAAGCAACGTCTGAAAACTTCAGCCAGGATGTCTGGCACAAATGTGTCTTCAAAGGGACAATGTCTCTCAGCATACTGACTACATACAAAGTGGCTGAAGGACAAGAAAGGTAGTAATATTTTGAAACGACCACCAAAAAATCCTGATATCAATCCCATATAAAAATTGTGGTCAGAGCTGAAAATTACGGCCTACAAACCTGACTCAGTTCAGTCAGGAATAAGACAAAATTCCAGCAAACTGTTGTGAGATGTTTGTGGAAGGAAACCCAAAATGGCTCACCAAAACTGGACAATAGGAGATTGGAAAACCATTTCCTGCTTTGACTCGTCTCGACTTCACTGGCCTCCAGTCACCAGCTCTCAGTCCAACCGAGCACCTTCAGGATGTGGGGGAATGAGAGATTTGTTTCATGGACATGCAGCTGACAAATCTGAGGCTACTGCAATCATGTCAATGTGGGCTAAAATCTCTGAGGAACCTTACAAAAATCTCTGAGGAACCTTACAAAAATCTCTGAGGAACCTTACAAATAATCTCTGAGGAACCTTACAAATAATTTGTTGACACTTTAACATGAATAATTAAAGCAACTCAGAAATCCAAAGGGGTTCCAACCCAGTACAAACAAGGTGTATGAATATATTTATACACAGGTGCTGGTCATAAAATTAGAATATCATGAAAAAGTTGATTTATTTCAGTAATTCCATTAGAATAGTGAAACTTGTAGATTATATTCATTCATTACACACAGACTGATATATTTCAAATGTTTATTTCTTTTAATGTTGATGATTATAACTGACAACTAATGAAAACCCCAAATTTAATATCTCAGAAAATTAAATTAAGATCAATAAAAAAAGGGTTTTTAGAAATGTTGGCCATTGAAAAGTACGAACATGAAAAGTATAAACATGAAAAGTATAAACATGAAAAGTACGAACATGAAAAGTATAAACATGAAAAGTATAAACATGAAAAGTATGAACATGAAAAGTATAAACATGAAAAGTAT